TTTTATCGATAGAGCTCGCTGCTTACCAAAGTCTTTGGGTCTCAATAGTTTTTTTAGATGAGTATACACTTACTAAATAAGGCTTTACTAATCATCTTCATTATATTCGAATAACAAATAGTTTCAGGAGCTTTTAAAATTGTAGAAAACATTTCTATAATAAAAGGCTATTTATGTTCAATTTCTGAAGAGCCCCCGAATGGAAAAGTTTCTCTCCAGAAATTGGTTTTGCTCAGTACTCTGTGCAGGAAAACTAGGGGGCGCCATTTTGGCTCTGTTTGCCGGCTCTAATGGATTTCCAAGGCGGAGCATAACAATTTGTTTGTGGGCCGAAACTGTTGCTCCGGCCGGGAAGTCTGCCACAATGATTATTACGATGATAAAGGCGGCGATAATGATGATTATGATGACGATGGTGGCGATGGGATAATGTGATTTTTCCCAGCGATTTGAAGGCAGCCTGCAACATCGTTGCCATTTTCATGCCAAGGCGAGCATACAAATTACATGACAATGGCGAAAACTGTACGGTGTTTATCGGCTATGAGGGGCAATCGTTTCGCAAATCAGGACGTCAAAACCGAAAAAAAAATAAAATCACTTGGCAAAATGTTTGCTCTGCTGATTGGCCACGACTTAATCAAGCAGTGCGTCAGCATTTTCATTCATTTGGAGATTGATTGATGCACTGACTGATTGCCAGTTTTTTTTTTTTTTTGTCCACCCGCCGATGGGCAAACATCTGGTCAACCATCCATCAGAAATCAACAAGGAGCAGTGGAACCTGCTGCTGACACACGGCAAATTGTCGGGCAAAGTCGCAACTCTTTGGCAAACACAACCGGCAACTGGCAACTGGCATTTTTGTTTTCAGCTAAACTTTTATTTTTTCCCCGGGTTCGGGGTGCTGGGAAAACCTTGCGGAAGCGGCAACGGCAAATAGTTTGTGCCACCCGCAACCTACTTGATATGGCAATGGCGAACAACTTTAACAACGCTATCTAAACCAACTTTGGCATGTCAGGGCCTAGACTCCTCCGCCTTCAGCCGCCCCCGCTCCAAGTGAAAACTCGTTCGGGCTGGAAAATCAATAGAAGCCTTGCGACAACATACACACGCATCTATTTATGCGGCACGCAGCTGCTGTCCCTGCCCCCCCCCCCAACTCCTAGTCACCCACTTTCCGCTTTCCACTTCCCACTTTCCTGCTCTCCGTTTTCCATTTCCATTCACCAACTCCATCCAGTCCGTAAATCATGGCAGCAAGTGATAAAATCATGCCCGAAAACTCGACTATTTGACACTGTTAGCGAAACCCAGGGAAAGTGTGATATCTCACCGAGGTTAGCTCTAAACTTAAAAGGCAGTAAAGAAAACTTAGGCAAGTGCTTCAATTAGTATAGAACCCCGTAAATCTTACGGCTTAATGGAAGGGGGGTTTGTTTAGAGAGCATTGTTAATTATTATTTATGACGGCGTTTCGTCAGAGGTTCTCCGTCTGTATTTGCTCAAAAGTTAGCTTTAACTTCGGCTAGATGACTGCATGTTTGTTTTGGGAAAAGTAGAAGCCCTACAAGAAAACACTATTAGTCAAGGCAAAACGTGACTAACGTTTGCCAAGGCGAGATCCTTGAAATGTGTTTGGGGCATTAAAAACGCAGATGGGATAGAGTTCCCTAATGACCTTTTCTGCATCTGAATCACAATGCGAGTTTGCAGCTTGATACCCTGGCAAATGGCATTCTCTGGCTCTGGGCGATGCTGGCATTTAAGGTTATGCGATTTGAAATCAAATCAATGTCAATGCCATCCATATTTGATGGCTGCCCGCGATGCGTTGCAATGTGATGGACATGCGAAGGATATGCGATAGTGTCCTTGATTGCGATGACCGATTGCCATTGACCAGCGATGCGAGTCCTGCAAGGGAAGATATGGAAACGCGTAATTGACAGACCAACAGACATCTATCTGCTACACACAAACACACACACACACGCCCGTAAAGTTAGGATCCTGATTGTGTAGTCTACTTTCGGGCAGACTGCCTAAAAGCCTGTTTCCGGCGATACAGGAATTTGCGCCTTGTTGCGTCCAATCCGCAGTCAAGTGGCAAGCCACGCCCACCAACGCCCACCTTCGCCCAAACACTTTCAGGCACACATACAGGCAATCAAATAATACGCACTTATATTTTGAAATTTCTAATTGATAAAGATGCAAAGCTTCTGTTAGATTCTAACAAAATTTATGTTTAAAGTATTTAAATGTTGAATCAATGGCACTTTGGATAAGGTGAGATTATTATAACTATTATTTAATATTGTTCTTTTATATTCTACTTACGAAAAATGGCAATATTGAGTCAGAAAGATATCAAAATAAAAATGTTTAAGCACTTGAATGATTTATTTTCTGACATTAAACGGACCTAAGACTTTTAAGTACTTAAAAATAAATTAAAAGAGTCGTAAAAACACCGTAAAGCTGTTAACGATAATTATTTCGGTCTTGAATTTTTTCCCTCGGTGCAGAGACTTAAGCTGAACGCCCGACTATTTAAATCTTAACCCAGAGCTTTAGTCCCTGCTTTGTGTGTTATCCTTGCAGAGGTGTGAAATACAGTTATAAATAAATAAGAATGCTCAAAACGCGCACACTGGCACACAACATCCTTACGACGACAGACATAAAAAAAAGGGATATTGTTAAATAATAAACAGTTTACGCTCTGACAACATACAACAGGCGTGAAAATGAGGGGCGGTGGGGGCGTGGCCGTTCAACTGTCAACACAAAATGATACACATCTGCACTCCCTCACACAAACACACTCATACACACATACAACCGGTTCAGATAAGGACCCACTCACACACACACGAACAGCACTTCCAAGTTTTGTGACAAGAAGGCATTTCAAATCGACGATTCGCATAACGACCGTCATCAAACTTGTTGTTATAACGTCGCAGCTCCGGCAGCAAGGACAATATCAAAATGTCGCCAATAACCGGCGGGTAAAATATGCTGACATCGCCAACTGTTCCCACTCGTACTCCGCATAAAACATGTCATTTGACGTCCCTGGATTCGAATGGCGAACACTGAACACCGAACACCGAACACTGAGCACCAACACGGAGCAACGAGCTCCGAACATTGAACACCGAAACCTGTCAGGACATTCTCTTGTTAGCATAACGAATCTAAATACCTCTGTCACGGAAGCCTGACAAATCTGGTCCCTGAAACAAAGCCCCCGCAAAGGACATAACAAACTACTGCGAACCTTATCTGCCAGGGATTCGGATAGCCTCCGTTTGAAGAGCGGGTTTTGTGCAAAGCGATTTATGGCTCAAGTGAAGTGTGCAGAAACGTTTACTGGCTCATTTCCCCTGATTTCGGCATCTCGCCCAAGCACTTTAAATCTCAGTGAAGGTGTCAGGTCTCCCCGGAGATTCATGCGTTTGCATGTTGTGGCTGCTCAGGATTTTTGCTTAATATTTAATTCAGTTACTTCTTTATGTATTAGACTCTTAACTGAGAGCCTACTTTGTCCTTGATTCTTAGACATTGGCTAATTGGGAATGATGTCTTGACAGGATGATAGTTGGTATTTCTGAGAGATTTAGAATTAGAATTTTAAATATGAACAAAGTGCTTAGTTCGCTTCTACTCATATTTCAAAGCACTTTACCATGAGCTTATTTATTACAACTCTTGGTCATTTTCTTAATGAAAATCATATCTCCTATTTTATAAAGTGGTTGCTCCTATCAAGCACTGATTATAAAAACCGGTTTGAATATTGGTTACTATTTGATTACCCCTGATTTCATATTTCAAGCAAGCACTTCAAATCTCTTTTCTTGCTACATTCACTTATCTCCCTATGTGTTTCGTATAAATCTTTCGATCTATGAGCTCATTTCGGCTTCCTACCAGCAGATGATTGCACAATAGCGGATAGTATCTTTAAGTCCACGACGAGATAGTTGCTATCAGGCAGCGATTACTGGAAGTGGATCGTATACTTGTCCGAGCAGAGATGAAGGATGGCTATCAGGTCATCAAGCTATCAGTTTTGGTTCCACAAACGTAATTGCCCCGACTTGTCTTTGGTGTTTCGGATTCACTATTGTATTTCTCCCTATCGAGTCGCCGTATCTCAGGCGGTTCCGTGCGTCACACATTTGTATACATTTTCATACATACACAATCGCCAGGTTATATCTGCGGCTGCCAAAGTGGCGATTCGGTTAGACGACGCGCGATCAGAATGCGAATGCGAATGCTCTGATTTATACTTCATGAAAATCAAAATCGAAACAGAGCTACCAATTTACCCAAGAGTCGAACACGGAAAGGACCGAAACCGGATCCCAGGCGAGTGCGTGCCACGCCCCTCGTGCAACGCACCTTCCGAGTCCCGTGATCCGCGCCCCTGGAAGCAACCGAAGGACATCCACCCGCCGCCGGGCGGGAGAAACTATGAATTGTCACGTCTGACGACGAACCGCCGGGCGTTCCTCTCCAATCATCCACTCCCGAATTACCCGTCGAGTCCTGATTCCCCATCCTTTTACGAGCAGCCGAGTTCCGAGCACACAGACTCCCATCGAATCCCATCCCGGAGTGAGTATCCCTGGGGACAAATCGCACTGCATTCCACTACACTTCGATTAGAGTAGCGAACGAGGTGGCTAAGACCGATTACAGAGGAGGTCGTGTAGATAGAACTTGAAAGTGTGTGTATTATTTATTTTCTCTTCAAGTTTCCCGGGAAATCTTAAAAGTGGATTGTTAATAATTTCTGTGGAAGTGTGAAAATGGATTTCAATGGATTTCCATGTAAATGCAACATTTCTAGCCGGTTGTGTTAAGTTGTGTGCCTGGTTTAATCAATCTGGTACTAGTCTAATTAGGTCCATGTCCATAACTAACGATGGGCCAATTTTACATTGATAGAAAAGAAGGAGGAAAAGTTGTATCTCTGTGTATTTTATTTACATGGAATAAGAGCTTTAAAAAATGTTAAGAATACACAAATTTGTGACTATCATCAAAACTGCCAGCATAATAGTAGGGTGGATTTTTAAAAGCTAGATCTCTGTTTACATCAAATGGTTTACAATTTAGTAGGTTTTTATTAACAAACTCGTGCACAACGATATGTTCCGGCCAAAATTTAGGATTGATTATCGCCAGGAATATCGAATCTGGAACCACGATTCTAAACGATGCCATTTTTCGCTTTTGTTTGTTGTACAATTTAGTCACTTGAATATCATCTAGATGGGGATGATATAGTTTAGAAACTATGTAATATTTAAGGGCATCTTCAGTAGTTGATGGCACAAATCTCGACACGAACACAGCCTTTGTTGGAGGAACAGCAGTCAGAACACGTGGTATATGTATTGTTGGTAGTTCCACAAAAGGATGATTTGGGGAGTTGTTTTTAACTGAAGGAACTGTAAAAGTAGCAGGATCTGCTGCGATTTCCATAACACTATCCGAGTGGGTATACCCACTATATGTGTTTATGGTCTCTGGTTCAAGCTCAGCATTAACATTCACTGAAGAGGCAATCTCTTGGGAGTCCAGTGAATCTATTGCAGAATCTGTACTCGACATCTGGCGAGATTCGATGGCTGTTTCCAACTTCGAAAACCTGTCATAAACCAGTCTAAATTCGCTGAAGAGTTCGTTAATTTCCATTCGTGTTTGCCGCATAAACCTTCCCATTTGCGATTTAATCACTCTGCAGTCTTTGCATGTCCATTTGAGTCCACTTTTCGATTCGATTAACTCCAGAACTCGGTCAGATAAGCCGGCGCACTTGATATGGGCATATTGGTCGCATAGCCAGCACATAACTTTTAGATCGTTAGTGATTATGTTGTCAAATTCACAGGTTTCCATACAGCAAATCAACATTTCCAGCGGTCGGGGTAAATTTGATAGCTATATAAAAATACGGCAAGTGACAAAGAACTTTACTAGATACTAGCTTTCACGTGTTTGTTTTTTCAAAGAAAATTACCAATCGATAAAATACAGTTTTCTTTTAGAGTTAAGCAAAACACACGAACGAAAAACTCTTTAAGGGTAAAAAAATTAATCTAAAATTTTCGAAATTTCGGACGCACAGATAAAAACCGTCGAGCTGTTACGAAGTTCAGTCAACGAATGACGAGTTGTGACTGTGATTAGATTTTTGTGTAAATAAAGCGAAGAGGGTTTGGCTGGGGCCTATCGCTAAAGAAATCCAATTATTATGTTGAAAATCTCATTAAAGTGTGTTGCTAGACTCTTGTCCAGATTGAACCAGAAAGCCGAGAATCGAAATGGGTATATGCTTCTTGCTTCAGCACCTGAAATTCAAGGTTTGTGGTTGTAGATACCTTTGCTAGTATCTTGACCACATCTGTGTGTTCATGACGCGGTGTTTGAATAGAAATGAAATGCGCACGGAAAGCCGCTTAGCTGGGAGACGGAAAATATGCGAATAAATTATGTGTGGCCACCTAGCATATATCCACATGATTTGCTGTAATCCCCACATGTCGGCCCGGCATATTGGTATATATTGGGTCCCTGCAGGCGCCTTTTGTTCGCGATGAAAGTGTTTTCGAAATGAAGAGACCACACGGTCAGCAAAATTAGCACAGCCGTTGCATGGCTACCGAAATGATTGCCTGCATTTTGTTCAACCTGGCTGAATACCGCAGACAATAATAAACAAACCATAAAGAAAGCAGAACTGCATTGTCGGGCAAAGAGTAAAAGGTGTAGGAAAATTCACAGAATAGAGAGCACAGACCACAAGCGAGTGGCTAACAATAAAAGAGAAAATTGGGGGTACTTATAAATAACATAATACTATAAGCCAGCATAATAAATCTTATAATAATATTCATCTTTTGTTTTAGATCAGATTTGAAACCGAAAGTTGTAATGTTTCATATGACGAATAATAATGCCATTTTATATATACATTATTTATCTACTTATCTGTGTTTGTTATGACGAATAAGGTGATTAGTCAGAAGTAATTATCAACCGATATCTATTGTATGCATATCTACAGTGCATAAAAACTCTGGCTATTAATTAAACATTTACACGGCATTGTAAAGCTGCGTAAGCACAATTACACAGCATTTTAAAATACATTTTAAAGTCCTTAAAAACTCGTAAATCCCTTGGATGAATACCATTTACAGTTTAACACTACAGCTGGGATGTTGGCTTTTTTTCGACCCATTTTTTCATGTTTTCCGTGTCTGAGTTCCCCCAATTTCCCATCGTAGGTGGCTGGCGAATGGCGAATAGCGAAAAATAAAGCACCGAGCAGGGAACAAAAGCAAAGCCCCGTGCCCGAGCACACCAAATAATTATGAACTGGGGGACAGGGACATGACAGAGAAATTCCGACAGACAGACAGACAGACAGACAGAGAAAGAGAGATGGACGAGAGAGAGATAGAGAAAGAGAAAGCAGAGAAAGGCAGACAGACAGGTGGTAATATGGGGATTCTGGCGGTGGATTAGTCGTGCGTTGGCTGCCAAATGCAATTGCGAATCGGGAAAAAATGGAATCCGAAATCTGTGCCAGCTGACGAACAACTCAACTTGGCGGCTCGCATATAAAAACATCTGCACGGGGAATTACTTTACAGCCAATTAGATGTGTGTTTGATTTACTAGACCATTTCGAGAACGAATGTACCTTGAACTTGGGAGCAAACCAAAAAATTGGATATACACCAACCAGTCGGAAAACGTACGTAATTCTACGGGAGATGGGGCGACGTAACAGCGCCAGCGCAGCGTAAACAAAATGCAGTTTGTTCATTTGGCACGCTCATCTATTCCCCATTCTCAATTTTACACAGAAAGAAATATGTCAGCTTAATTCGAATTCATAATTAAAGAATATTAAAAGCTCTTTTAAATAACATGACTGTGCAGCTGGGGAAACTTTATTAAGCTCCCTCCAACATAAAAATGTTCAATAATTACATCAACCTTTTTTAATCGATTTCAGGTTATTAATCTTATGGTTAGTAAAATAAAGGATAGTTTTATTGACACCCCTGTAAAATCAGTAAGCTCAAAAGTCCCTCATAAGTCTGAGAATATTGCACTTCTAATTAGCGAGTGCTAGAAACGGTTTTAAGTCAAGACAACCTATAAATATAAGAGCATTTGTAAATAACTTTTCTCATTTACAAAATCAGTTATCCATTTGTTTTGAGTATTTTAATTAATAACAAATTATTTTCAAATAATTAACAATTCATTTCAATTTTTCTGAGTGTACTTTTATTGCCATTCCCACGTTCATACTCTTTCATATTCGCTCAGCTGCATTCCCAGTTGCAGTCCTTGGCGAAACGCGGCGCGTTCGATCGCCAGACGATTATATTATTTTTTGTTTGTGCTAAATTTAAAATCCACGTTAATTTTAGTTGTGCGGCCTTTGACGAGTGTAAAGGCTGCCTGAAAAATCAGTTCGATACGTTTGATAAGCTGCGAAATGTAAGCAACGCGGGAGCTGCATTTGTTGCCCGGGGCAAAGTTTTTAATTAATTTGCAATCTCTTAACCCGACGTGCAACCATTTTCCAATAATGACCAAATGCAATTTACCGCCGGAATGGAAAACGGAAGAGTGGGGAGTGTGAAGGGGGGGGTGTGGGGGTGGTGGGAAAATTGGAACGCTTGCCCAGCATATGTTCCGTGCTCCCAGGGGCGTCTGATTGTCTCATCTTCATTTACTTTCTCCGCTTTCTCCCCCATTTTCCCAGCTGCCTTCCGTCTCCCTCGCATGCCATCAGTCTGTCCTGCTCTTTGTCTATCTACATATATCGGCACTGCTGTTGGCTCTTGTTGTAATTGCTAAATTAATGCAAACGTTGATGATTATCTAGCCCCTTCGCCATAAACCGTGGGGCATATTGATTTATTGGATTTCGAAGCCTGGGCCAAAGTGTTGTGCCATTCGAGTGTGTGTGAGTGTTTCTGTGATCCAAATGTGCATATTAAAAAAGAATCGACTATAAATACGCCGAATGTCTGAATGCAAAAGCTTAAGCAGACAGTTTAACTCGACGAGCTGTAAACGAAAAGTTCCCAGTGTCACTTTCCCACAAAAGAAATGTCTTCTTTATGTGAAAATGCATCATTAAAGTGCTTCTGTAAGGAACTGTGAAAAACGGAGAAAATTAAGTGGGCTGCTCAATACAAACAAAACTTCTAGTTCAATTATGAGGTGGAAGGGGCTGGGAAAGTAATTAATATCAATACCCCTCAATCAAATAAACAATTTATCAAAACAGCTGTGGATTGATTAATTGAATAAACTAACTACTTAAAAAATACAGTTGTAAATATGTTTGCAATCAGTTTACGGGTGTATAAATAAATAATTTAAAGAAATTCTCTTTTCAACGTTAACTTCAATTAAATTATTCAACTGCCTTGGGTACTTAAGACTTTCAAAACTAAATTAATATTTATTATACGTTTAAATGTTTCAACACTTGATGAGGAATCGTTTTATGCAGCTCCTCAGTATTCCGTGAAAAACTTTGCCTGACTTGGTGTTATTTGAGTTGCAAAGTTCCCATATCTTCAGACCCTCCGCTTTGCCAGCTGTCAACAGTTTTATCTGCAAATGTGCAATTCCTTCATATTTTCCCCCATATTTTCCCCCCTCTTCTTTCTGCATTTTGTGCATTTATCTTTGGTTTGTCTTGTCACTCACTTGTTTGCTTTTTGTTGCCAAGCGTAATGTTTTTAGTTCCGTTTTTGGTTCCCGTTATTGACATTGGAGAATTATGTATGTATGTATGTATGTATGTATGTATGTATCTACATATGTAGACAATATCGATCACGGTCAACAAGCTCATTTCGCTGCATTCTCCTCTATTTCGGTTACAATTCAATTTGCAACTAACTTGTGCAGCTAAATTTCATCTGGGCCTGTTTTTCATTTTCTCGGGAAAATGAACTTTGTTTGCCCGTAGTTTTCAGATTGCTTTGGCAAATTTATAGCTGCACTTTTGTTTATGTTTTATGCTGTCTATTTACGCATTTAATTTCATTTTCGTGTAAATACACAAAACAGCTGAACGACTGCCTGGCAAAGCTCAAAGAAAAGCTACGCCCCCAAAAAACATCCCCACACGGGGCGAAATGCAGACCAAATAGAATTAGGTTGTGGAAAAAAATAAATTGAAAATTGTTTTCTTTATGGGAGAGCAATTCAATCTTTTTCAAAAGCAATTAATCTGGTAAAGAAGTGAAGTTTATGCCTTGTGCTTTTGAAATCACTATGTTTTTAGATAGTTTTACAAGCACTTTGATTTACAACTGTAGGCATATGGTATTTTTGTATTTTTGTTAAAACATAAAGGTGTTTCGTATTTAGCGTAACGCTTTAAGTAGTATTTTGAAATAACCTAGAACGCATATTTTACCAGTTGTAGCTGTAAGGTGTGGTAGTGTCTTTTCGACCGGAAAACTACCAAAGTAAAAGGATACTGAACATTATAGAAGATCCATTATTAGTCCATTTGGGTGGTATAATACTTTGAGCTTACAAACCTCTCCAAAACAAAAAATTAATTTAATTTAATAAGACACAAAGTAAATTAGTTTACTTATGCTATTAACTATGCTGAGTAACATTAGGTATGTAGATATTTTTGAAGCATTGTACCACCCTAATGAAGCGATCTGGGCGCTCTGTTCTAGCGACTATTTGCGGGCTTTCGCAACCTTCGCAGTGGCATTGCGCTTGGTGACTTGCCGAGTTGCCAATTTGCCGACATGGCGACACACTCGTGATGCAATGCACCCGAAATAGGCGCCCGAGAATAGGAAGCAAGTCAACCCGCTAACTAACACACCCCCTCTCTCTCTCTCTCTCCCTCTTCTCTCCCTTTTTAACCGCAGGTGCAGCGGCCCAACTGCGTCAGAGTGTTGAACGTGCCATTGCGAGAATGCCTTCTCGCGGTCCCACGTCATAGTCACCATCATTAGCAACTAGCAACTAGCAACACTCGCGGCAAGCAGCAATCAGCAACCAGCAACCAGCAACTGGCAACTGGCAACACCAATTGCAATTGCATCTGCAGCAGCAGCAGCAGCAGCAGCTGGCAACTAGCAACTAGCAGCACAAAACTCACAGCCAAATCGAACGCAACAAAGCTTCCAGAGTCAGCGTGCCACGCAATCACTTCCAGGAGAAAGGAGATCCTAGTTCAAAAAAAAAAACAAAAAAACAAAGAAAAAGAAAACCAAAAACCAGCCATGCAGTTGCTCCTCAAGTCGATCTTCACCTGCGCACTATTAGTGATCTTTGTTTATGCCACCGCCCAATCGCTGGCGAAAGTCCAGGAGAGCGAGGCGCGGCGGGCGTACCTCAATCTCACCTCCAACTCCTACTCCTCCGCCCACTCCTCCTCCGCATCCTCCTCGTTGAGGAGCAGTAGAAATCCCGGAGAGGAGGATGGAGGCCACTTCCTTAGCCGGCGGCTGAGGGCAGGCGCCGTACGGCGAGGAGGGCGACGAGGGGGCGGAAACGCAAAGCGAGCACGAGCGGAAACAGGATTCGGCCAACCAGGAGGCACCCGATGTGGAGGAGCTGCGCCAGTGCAGCGAGGGTCTCGTCTTGCCGCTCTGGATGCCCCAGGAGAACATCTCGCTGGGCGATCGGCTCGTCCGCGGGTTCGTCTACTTCGTCCTGCTGATCTACCTGTTCGTGGGCGTGTCCATCATAGCGGACCGCTTCATGGCCGCTATCGAGGCGATCACCTCCATCGAGCGGGCGGTGGTGGTCAAGGGGCCCAACAACATCAAGCAGGTGATGCACGTGCGCATCTGGAACGAGACGGTGGCCAATCTGACGCTGATGGCCCTCGGCTCTAGTGCCCCCGAGATCCTGCTCTCGGTGATCGAGATCTATGCGAAGGACTTTGAGAGCGGCGACTTGGGACCCGGCACCATCGTGGGATCGGCGGCGTACAACCTCTTCATGATCATCGCCGTGTGCATGATCTGGATTCCGGCGGGCGAGGTGCGCAGGATCCGGCATTTGCGCGTCTTCTTCGTAACGGCCGCCTTCTCGATCTTCGCCTACGTGTGGCTGTGGCTCATCCTCTCGGTATTCACGCCCGGCGTGATTCTCGTGTGGGAGGCGATCGTCACGCTGCTCTTCTTCCCGCTGACCGTTTTGTGGGCATACATCGCCGAGCGCCGGCTGCTGGTGTACAAGTACATGGACAAGAACTACCGGGTGAACAAGCGCGGCACGGTGGTGGCCGGCGAGCACGACCAGGTGGAGATGGATGCGGAGAAGGGCCCGAGGGACCCCAAGCACTCGATGGTCACGTCCGCGCGCGGCACCGACGCCGAGGCCTTCGACGAGGCGCGTCGCGAGTACATCCATGTGCTGACGGAGCTCCGCCAGAAGTACCCCGACGCCGATCTCGAGCAGCTGGAGATGATGGCCCAGGAGCAGGTGCTCGCGCGCAGCAGCAAGTCGCGGGCCTTCTACCGCATCCAGGCCACTCGCAAGATGGTCGGCAGCGGCAACCTGATGCGCAAGATCCAGGAGCGGGCCCACAGCGATCTCACCGAGGTGAAGGCCCAGCTGCACGCGGGCGACGACGAGGACACCGACGACCCCATCCGCATGTACTTCGAGCCGGGCCACTACACCGTCATGGAGAACTGCGGCGAGTTCGAGGTGCGCGTCGTCCGCCGTGGCGACATCTCCACCTACGCCAGCGTGGAGTACGAGACCCAAGACGGCACCGCATCCGCTGGCACGGACTTCGTTGGCAGGAAGGGATTGCTCAGCTTTCCGCCCGGCGTCGACGAGCAGCGCTTCCGCATCGAGGTCATCGATGACGACGTCTTCGAGGAGGACGAGTGCTTCTACATCCGGCTGTTCAATCCCTCGGAGGGCGTCAAGCTGGCCGTGCCGATGATCGCCACCGTGATGATCCTGGACGACGACCACGCCGGCATCTTCGCCTTCACGGACTCCGTCTTCGAGATCACCGAGTCCGTCGGCAAGTTCGAGCTGAAGGTGATGCGCTACTCCGGCGCCAGGGGCACCGTCATCGTGCCCTACTGGACCGAGAACGACACGGCCACCGACTCCAAGGACTACGAGGAGGCGCGCGGCGAACTCATCTTCGAAAACAATGAATCTGAGTGAGTAGGACATTTTTATCAATACCTTACCATTCAACATTATTTGTTATTATAAAAGAAAGTTGGGATAATAATTGGTTTTACACTTTTAAAAAGGTCCATTCAATAATCAACATCGCATAATATATTTTAAAATCTACCTCATTGTTATTGGCGACTTGCACATATTCACTTTAATCTTAAAAATACATAAGAAGTGTTTTGGAAAACTGAAAATAATTGTAGTACAAGTAAATCATAAGGAAGATAAGCTTATTTCAGATTCAAATTCATTCTAAAATCTGAATTCGGAATATCTTATTTCTTAAAAAGCGTTTTGCCTAAGCGTTCACTAGTGAATATTTATCTAGAATTCTTCAAGCCTGTCTTGAACTTCATAAATTAAATTACTTTGTTATACATGTTGATACATTTTCTACTTTATAAATAACTTTGTTATAAATGTTGTTACATTTTCTACAGAAAGCAACAGCCAACTTCAGTAACAGTTTTCTAAATATTTTGCCAGTGGGAACTTGGCTTTAAGCGCGAAGATAGAATAACCACGCTTGTACGAACCACATGAGCGAAAGTTTCTTCCTTATTTTGATTTTTTGTTTGACCCAGTTTAGTTCTAGCCTGGCTAACGTTAATTTCTGGTCTCTGTTGGAATTGGAATAGCGGGTTAAGTTTTGGCTACACATGCACACACCATACCAAATGTTAGGGATGGCCACGCCCCCTCGAATCGGGCAATATATCCCGACGCCCGATGTCACGCAATGCGAACTCCCGGCGGAGTTATTCGGCGAGCTCGCAATTTCCGCTTTGGGAATAGACAGGCCAAAAGTGCGTGAGACAGTGCGCCGCGAATCGATTAAAGTCGCAGTAATTGGGGCCTCTTAATTGCCACACCAGCTGCCAGCTGCCAGTTGGCAGTTGGCATTGGCCATGGCCAAAAGCGAAGTTGGTGTGTGCGGCTCTGCAAAGCAGTCATCCTGCAGCACCTGCTCCTTCCGCTCCTCCAGCTTCTCTTGTTCCTCCTGGTTCGCCAGTTCCTTTCCCTCCTCGCGAATGCCTGCCTGTGTGTGTGTGAGTTTGTGTGTGTTCAGAGTATCCTGCTGGGTGCCCCTGGCCCAATTGTCCTGGCTGCGTGCTGGGCGACACAATGCCAGACATCCTTTCATTCCGCCCGCCCAGAAATTAACACCCAAGCCCGTAGCCGAGGCAAGCCGTAATTAATTTTGCAAAATTTATTCATTTTGACAAACATTTGGCAGACGACAGCCGCACTCAGTTAACTGCGTTTGCATATGTTTTTGCGGCCTTCATGGCCATGTCCGAAATGTCGGTTAACACGCAACATGGCCACATATAGGGGTTAGAGGTTAGTCCGCTCTAGACCCGATTCGAGGATGGCCCTTTAAGATGATTTATGGCCCGAGAAAATGCCCAACATATGCCGGGTATTAGCCTGGCCGAAAATCTGGGAAATGGCTTCAATTTGATGGGCACTAATCATGATTTACTTACTGACTTAATTAAAGCATAGACAGGACCTTTTACACTGCGATAAGATTTACGTTCTTAATTAAGTAGAAATCGTAAAGAAATTCACAAGTTCGTTATTGCAATTTATTGGCTAAATAACTTTGGAACTTCTTTTATGATTACTTGTGTTGATGTCTACTAGGCGTTCTTTACAATATAAGAATAATGGTAATGGAATAATGGAATATAATGTTTAATATTTAAACATCAAAGCTATATAAACAATTTTACATGGCCACATTTCATTGGCCAAATCTTATCTAAAGTTAAAGACGGCATTTCTCGCTCACTGTATTTAATGTTTATTATGTGAAGCATTTCCCCTGTGGCATTTGTCGTCTGTGTGTTTTCCTTAGACTCCGCTGCACAAAGCCTCATTTATGGCTGTCCCGCCCTCGTTTTTCCTCCTCTTTTTTTATTTTTTGCGACTCCCCGAGGCTTTTTCGCGTAAAATTGTTTCAAACACGTCGCCACAGACATAGCATGAATTTTTGAGGATTTCTGCATTATTAAGTAGTAACGAAAGCGGAGCGGACAATTAGAGGAGGACACGTTGTTGTTGCTGATGATGTTGTTGTTGATGTTGTTGATGTTTTTGGACGTGAGCGTCAACGGGGGAAAACTTACAGGAATTAAGTGGCAACGATGTGCGGCAGCGTGCAGCGTGTGGCGTGCGGCGTGTGAAGATGTGTCTGGGTGAAACGCTCCCAAAGTGCTCGTTAAGCTGGGGCAAGTCAGTGCTTAAGCCGTTTTCCCCACTTGCCACGCCACTCTGAATACTTTTTAATGCCTGTGTTCATTTTCTTTTGTTTTTTGTTTTTTTTTTTTTTTTTGACTGAATGGAAGTGCAATGGCAATTGCCTTCGTTCTATTTGTGTCGCAATTATTTGCCAACTTTTGAAACGTTTCATTGTCGCCAGTGCCCGAATAAATTTCCGGCTGCTCCTTCGCTGACTGCTGAGTGCACGTCGTCGTCGTCGTCCTGGCGATCCTGGCAGTCCTTTCAGGCCCTTTGTGGCATTTACAGCCACTCAAGTTGAATGCCTTGCGGTGCCGTTGGTAATAATGTTTGTTTTAATGTTGCCAGCTTCGCTGGCACTCTGCCAGCCAAAGTAAGCCCGGCCAATTGCCAACTGGCAGCGCAGCTCCCACACACATCGATGAGGATCTCGGGGGCATCTTCGCCCTGGCCCTCGGAGGAAATGCCCTTCTGCGAGAGTTGCCATAAACTAGCTGCCACAATTAAGCGGGTTTTGATGTATTTTTAAATGGCCATTAAAGGCCTCACTCTTTAAAGGGGCTGAAAAAAAGAAAATAAGGCAAAAAGTGAAGCACGCAGCGAAATGAAATTGCTGGCAAATCTACTTTGAAGTCAATGCGTGTGGCTGTGGCTGCAATAAATTCGCTTTTTTCACCGCACCAACTTTCCAGCGCTCTCCGCTCTTTAATGAAAATCAAAACCCACCGCTGCCAGCGAACCACAGATATATTCAAACAGTGCGGACCTCAGACTTTTGCCAGCTTTCGGGCAGCGGAAATGCGCAACAGCAACAGCAGCAGCCATGTAGTCGGCCGTCATAAAAAACAGGCAGCAGCAGCACCAGCACCAGCAGTAATGCCATAAAATTCCCCAACGAAACTGGCAAAAAAAAGCGAGCGAAGCCGGGGAAAAAGTAAGTGGGCCGGGCTACAAAGTGCCAACACTGTTGCATAAATTTGTATAATCTGCTGGGTGCCAGTGGAGTGGGCACATTCGGATTGAGTTATAGGACCTTAAATAACCGACTCTTGCAGCGCGCTACGTGTTAAAAAAAAAAAAAAAGGAAAGGAGGCCGAAATCCGAAATGCGAAATCCGTAGCCTACTTTTCTGGGCCACATTTAAGATAAGGCCTCCGGGGAGGAGCTGTGCCTCCATTAGTTAAACCAGACAGACAGACAACTTTACTGTGCGTGGCATTTGTTAATTAGCCGCAATTTAGGTGGCTTGCCACATGGCCTAAATGCTGCTCCCCGAGAAGCAGAGTGTGGCAAATTAAAGATTCTCTTTTGGGCCGCTTCAAGACATCCACTTCCCCTCAACTTGTCTGGGTTTCCTTTATTTTTTTCTTCTGTTTTATAGAAAATCCCGAGTGAGCACCGCAAATAGGAAGCTCCGAGCACATAAAAGTCAAACATAAAATATGCACAGGACAGCGGAGAGGTGAAGTACACAGAGATAAGAGCAAATATTTTATTAAGCACACATAATCTAAAATTGAAATTTACGCTATTTCCACCGGAGCATTCTGGGAAACAAGCGACTTACAAGTTGTCTTCGTTTCGTGTGCGGTTTCAGCTTTCACTTTTCACTTTCCGTGTAGCATTTCCTGTGGCCGGCGGGGAATTTCCCGGAACGGACCAGCTGCTTAGCTGACTGACAAGCAAGCGGAGTCTGCCTCCGAGTGCCTGCTTCTGTCCCCGTCCAACCGTGCATCCTTTTGTGGCAGCCCGCCCAACTGCCACCCGCTTCCCGTCCACGTGAGCGTGAACGTTAAGGGGAGCCCGCAACCGCAGTGCCCTCGAATGAGCCCGTCTCTAAGCACCAAACACCGGGTTCTATGGCACTCCCCTTATCCCGAATTCCGAATACCGAATACTGAATCCGGGGTCGGTTGTCAGGGAGCCTGCCAGCCAGAGAACTCGATCCCCCGGCAGCCGCCGATACCTTGTGGGAATATTACTAAACAGTGCTGTCAGTTCTCAGTAGTAAGCCTAGCTTTATGTGGTTGTTAGAACTTAAAAATATATATATAAATTTTATAGCAAAAAATATGACAAAAGAATTTGCCATTTAGGATTTTTTTATTGATTTCTTCTGTTACTTTAAACAATCTTTTACATGAAAAAAATCCTTATCATTCAACGTAAAACGTATTATTAATATCAAATCTATTAAATTTTACATAATGTTATTTGAGCATATAATATTATTTATACATTTTAAAGAAAACAATTTTTAATCATAGAGTGTAATAGTGTTTTTTATATCCAGAAATTTTAAATTGAACAAAAACTATTGAATTTCAATATAAGCTTTCATATTTATTGGAATTTCAAATATTCATATTATTTTTACTTGACATTGACACGCCTTGAATGTAAAAAATGTATTCGCTTATTCAGTAAATGTAAAAAAGTAAAGATATTCGTTTTAATCAAGAAATACCTTTTAGACAATAAGTATCTGACCAATAGTATCTGAACTGGCAGCACTTTAGCCACAACTGAAAGGCCGGTGGGCCTCAAAGAACAAACTGAAGATGTGGCTCGTGTGTGTCTGGGGGCCTTTCAAGCAACCTACAAGCACACTGTGTTATTTACGGCCTAAACCACTTTGCGAGTCTAGTCAGATGGCTGTGAATGTACGAAGGGTATCTACATTTCGAGCAAGACGGGTGTGCAGAGCAAAGTTTCTTATTTGCGATTCAAT